ACCTCTTTCTAGCCAGAGCATGAGGCCCTCTGTGAGGAATTCCTCACTCACAGCCCTCAGCCAATCCCAACAAGACTAGAATGTGCAGGAATTGTGATGCCCATGACTTCTCCATGGCTCACTGGCTCTGGAACTTACAACCTGGTTCACCATCCTGTCTAACCCCTGCTCCATCCCAGCCCATTTCTGCAGCTCCAACCTTACTGCACTCCTCTCTACCTAGACATTCTTCAACAACTGTACAATGTTTCTGGCCTCCCATTCCTGTTTTTCCCAAGAGAGCCTTTATTTCTCACTCATCCATCCTGGCAAATAGTTAACCAAAAATTTAGACAGGTGCAAAAAATAGTCTTGTTTTGCAGTACGCACTGACCATACTCGTGTTTCCTAGTACATTTCCACCCAACTCCACACCTCCCCAGGCTTCTGTCCTATAGATTACAAACTCCTGAAATACAGCAACACAAACATCTGCTTATAGAAAACACATTGAAAGTCCCTCCTGTCCCCAGTCCTGGAGATTCCAGGAACTCAGGGAGCCAGAGACACTGAAATCATTCATTACTCCCAACCTCCTCTTTTTCTTCTTTCACATTTCACCCTGCCTTATGTCTGGTAGGACCAAGCCATCAGCAGCAGCTAGCAAGCAGCTTGACTCAGGGGCAGGCTGAGATGATTGAGGGCAGAGCTTTCCTATCAGTTACCAGAGTTGGAAAAGGAACTGCAACTCTACAGAGGCCATTCTTGCCCTGGAGGGGCTTACAGACCTTCTGCAGAATAGAAGCCACATGGATTGCTAGTCTAAGCAACTGCACAAACAGGCAGGTTCCTCTGCCCCAAGGGGGAGGTTTGAGTTCAGTAGTCAACCCAGAGGGCCCCGAAATGCAGCCCTGACCTGCCACCTTGGCCAGTCAAATGTTAGTAGCAGAGGGCTTGAGTCTTCTTAAGCATGTTTTTAATTACTGCAAAAATGTGTCATCCTAAGCAGCAGCGTGGTTCTCAGTTACCCACATGCAGATTGATGCTCTCTGTATGAAGCGGTTAGCACAGACATTTAAAAACAATTAGGATCGTGGTGAGGCAGTTCTGAAAGAGCTCGTTATGGAGAGGGTGGGGGAAGCCAGCCCATCATGCTCACCAGATAACTATGTTATTTGTACCTTTGATGTGGGGGGGGAGAGAGATGATTTGTTTCTTTAATATTTCCCTTTTGATATCAGACAGGAGTTGTGGAGACACACACACACACACACAGACACACACACACACACACACACACACACACACACACACACACACACAGCACTGCTAGATAACAGGCAGATGCAATGTCAATGCTGTAGGTCCTAGCAGTGAGGAGGTTAGAGAAAAGGCCACTAGCTCTTGGATAAAGTCTCTCTATGATGCCCAGCAGGCTGAGGTCAAGGAATGGGGACCAGGCCCAGTCAAAATTGGGTGGGGGGCCTGGGCAAACACAGTACCTGTCTTCCAGAAGTGACTGAAAAACCAAGAAGAGGCCTGGGGGGAAGCCTTTTGGGGAACCAGTGATACTGACTGCCCTTCTCTGCCTCCTGTCCTGGTTCATAGCAGTCCTAAGACCACACCTCCAGAGTCTCCAAGGGACACAGTGGGACTCCTTCCTTCCTCACAGGAAGCCTCTGGAATCCACCGGGACTTCTCCTTCTCAGTTTCCAGGGAGCACAGAGCTGTTATAGGCTGAACTGTGTCCTCAAAAAAGATATGCTGAAGTCGTATGTCCCAATACTTCTGTATATGGCCTTATTTGGAAATAGGATCTTCACAAATATTCAAGATATGAGGTCTTGAGAGTAAGACCTCCTATCCGATATGACTGGTGTCCTTATAAAAAGAAGAAAACCACCATGTGATGAGAGAGACACTCAGGAAGAATGGCATGTGATACCGAGGTGGATCAAAGTGCCAAGGTTGACCAACATGAGAACTCAGGAGAGGGAAAACAGGGATCCACCCAGAAACTCCTGGGAGCATGATTTTGGACTTATGGATTCCATAACTGCATGAGCACAAACCCCTGGATTTTATAAGCAACTCTAGGAAACCAATACACTGCTCAGCACCAGCCCTTACTCCAACCTGCCTGTGGAGAGGCCTTTGAAGACAGTGTATGTGGCGATCAGTCCAACCTTTTTCTTGCATGTGCTCAGTCACTCAAACATTCACTGACAGGACTGTACCAGGACTGTGCCAGGAAATATGAATGGAAAGGCCCAGAAAGAAGCCAGTGGCTACAGTGGCTAGACCATGTCCAGGTCTGGCTGTGAAGTCATGAAAAGCTCCTGCTTCCACCTGCTGCTCTTTCCAGGTCTTCTCCTCATGGCTTCTCACTCGTGCTGTTCCTGGGCTTTGGGGTTAGTTCCAACTAGGTTTAAAACCTGGTTTGCAAACTAGCTGTGTGACCTAGGTAGTTAACTGCTCTGAGGCTTTTTCTCACCTGTAGATTGGGGACTATTGGGAAGATTAAATAAGGTAATACATAATGTGCAGCCTAAGTAATAAAAATGTGATGTAGGTCTCTTTGCTTCTGTCATAGATGAAAACTTACACCCACAAAGATCTGTCCCTCTACCTTTACTAGGCTTAAAAATTCTTTCTGACAATGACTTTGTGAAAACTCTTGAAACACCTACCTTACCTTTTTTTTTTTTTCATTTTTCTGGTGATTTTTTTTTTTAAATGATGCCTCGAAATTTAAGGTGCCTTAGGCACACTGAGAAACTTTTCCATAACAATGCCAAAAATATTATCACAAATAATGAGAAGACTGCTTTAAGCAAATGCAAAAGGCACATTTGTCAGCTAAGCTGTTGGCTTAAGACAGAGCTGCAGACCATGCTTCCAGATTTATTTCTAGAAAGACTCCTTTAGAGCCCTGGGCCAGAAGCAGAGAAGCCACAGGGGAGGCACTGAACTAACCAAGTGGGACAGTCTGGAAAAGCCAGCTGCCACCCCTCCCCATCAGTGCCAGACCCCAAATGTCCCCAGTGGTCAGCTCAGCTCTTTGTAGGCCCCTAAGAAGGCGGGCCTATTTTTGAAGGCTGATGATCTGCTAATTTGCAGAGATGTGGATATCTCCATATGCCACCTCTGAGTGGGATTGTCTCACAACAAGCATGGGAGAATTACACCTCAGCAAGGAGTTCAGTAAATTCATCTGTGAAACATATTTCAATTCCAAAGGCAATTTTCTAATTAGTAGCGATCACAAAGCCGTCACAATCTGCAAGCAGTTCTCTCAACGGAGCCCGGGTCTTGGATTAAACTAAGCCCAAGTGTAAGTCACCAAGCCCAAGACATGGAATGCTAAAACCCCAGGACCTTGGTCTGGAACAGAGCACAGACACATGGTCAGTCAGGCATCAGGACCTTCCCCTCCACCAAGACCCATACAGAAGGGACTTTACAGAAGGGACTGGAAGCTATGTGGGCTTAGTAGGCAGTAGCACACAACATCCATTCAGTGTTATAAAAGACTCTCCAAGGGTGTAGCCATAAAACCATGATCCTTGCTCACCTGGTGCTTACAGTTTCCTGAGAAACACAAAAATTATTACGCAAACAATCGAGTTACTGATTAGTAGTACTGAGGGAAGTAGGACTGAGAGAAGGATCTCAGCTAATCCAAGAGATAGTTTTTGCAGAGGAAATGTTTACACATAGCAAAGTCGGTGTGAATTTCATCGGTATCATTTACTTTAAGTATCATTTTTCACAAGTTAATCACACTCTCTTGAGTTGCAAAATCTTCATCTGTAAAATGGGCACATCATATCCACCTCAGAGGTTTACTGCAAGGATCAAGTAAGTTGACCTACTTATAGAACTTGGCACAATTGAATGTACACAGAAGTTGCTCAATAAAAACACCTATCGCTATGATTTCAGAATGCCTCCCAACTTGAGGCTGATGGGGGACATAGGGGACAAAACTCAGTCCTCTACTCTCTTTTCCCAGAAGAGGGGACTGAGCAATTATCCAAGCAGGACCCAGTCAAAAGAGCTGGCCTCATTTCTAAAGGGATTCTGTGGTATCTGTCAGAACAAGCACATAAGGTGCCAAGGAAGGCACTTCATGGCCCATCTTAGAGGATCCTGAGGGCAAATCAAACCCCATTTGGCCTTTCAAGCCTGGCAATGAGGTCTAGAAGGTGACCACTGGGAGGAGGGAGCCCCAATGCAAGGAGAGGAAACAGCATCCCCATCTGGAAATAGTGCACTTGGATCCTCAGACTCTGCTCCCTTGACACTTGAGTTTCACCCCAGTTTTCCTCCTAATTCTGTGGCCTTTATTTATTTTTTATTTTATTTTTTTTTTTAGAGAGAGAGAGAGAGAGAGAATTTTAATATTTATTTTTTAGTTTTCGGCGGACACAACATCTTTGTTTGTATGTGGTGCTGAGGATCGAACCCAGGCCGCATGCATGCCAGGCAAGCACGCTACCGCTTGAGCCACATCCCCAGCCCAATTCTGTGGCCTTTATTCTTTCCCTTTCCTGGGTTCTTGGCTTCCCTATCTCTAAAATGGGAACAATCCCCCCTATACTCTTTCCAGGGTCCCCGGAAAGTGTCAGTAGGATCCTGAGTGTTTCAAGTCCTAAAGCTGAAACCCCGAGGACCGTCCCCTGCAACAGACCAATCCTTTAGGCTTTTTCCCTCCATGGGAAGCAGATGGCAGCAAGGACCCCAGCCCACCCTGGGGACGGCGGCAGCCCCTCTCCAGCCTGCCTTCTGGAGTTGCTTCCCTGGCTCGCTGAATGCAGCCCCCACCCTCCAGCGCCTTCTGCTCTTCCTCCATCTCACTGCCCTCCGCTCTCTTTCCTGCAAGCTGAGCTCTGCTGGCTGAGCCTGGAGCCCCGGGGCCCTCTTGCGTGCTCTGGCCATCGGCATCGAGGCCCTGGACATTTGTTTTCTCGCTGCACGGGGCTGCACACTGATACATTTGTACCACAGGAAGCAGAAAACTAGTTTAACATCTCATTTATTTCATAGATGAGAAAGTAATTCCCTGCTGAATGATTGTCCCGAACCAACAATTCAGAGAGAAGGAATTTACAGTGCTGCCAAGGACCGGGGTGCATGACTGTAGAGCCGTTATATGAGGGAGCTGGAACCTCTTTTTCCCCTCTCTCCTGTTAGCCTGAAGAGAAAAGCCATTAAATATGATTAAGGTTAAGAGATTGCTAAAATTACAAACAGCCGCCATTCAATTATTTTGCTCTATAAAATGCAACACAGATTGGAGTTATTTCTCTGAAATGTGTTTTTAGAAAATAACATAACACAACTAATGTGGTTTGATCTAGCAAACCAGGTTCCAGATAGCACTTCTAATGCAAAGCTAAAAGGGTCATAATTTAACTCAAAGTTTGTAACTTAAAGTCATCAGGTACTTACTTCACAGAAAAGCTTTAAAAAGAGAAAGAAAAAAAAATCAATATCATCCCAACTGATATTCTGAAGTCATCACAGCCAGAGAGCCAATCAATTTTATCACCCATTAAAAGGATAGACAGAAAAAAAAATTAAATTTAAAAAATAAAAGACCAAGTTAAACTTGGTCTAAAGGGCCCATTATTAATTATGGGGGTGTTAAATCTCTGGACTATTCTCTGCAGGTCTTCATAGCACCAAAGTTGGATTCTGAGGATGTCAGTTTCAAAGGGAAGGTGGTAAGAAATGGAAAAATAACTTATCCAAGTCTGTTCTGTGCACATGGCCCCAGGGAGCATGCTGATACCAGGGAGAAGCCCATATACTTACTCTTCCTGCCCCTGGACTTATGGTTCACATGGCAGATGACTTAATCTCAGCTTAGAAAGAATAAAAAGCTCAACTGCACTGAAATGAATTTTCTGTCCAGTTTGTACTGAAAGTTAAAATAATTGGAAATTCAGACAAACCTCTATGCAGATATATTAGTGGCTGGAGACTTCTGGTTATTATGGTTAATAAAACATCAGAATTACATTACACTCTGCTCACAGACTCCAGCCCAGGACTCACAGTCCCTCTAGACCGAATATAAGCCATTTATGAGGGAAAACTCTGTACACAAGCTCGACACATAAAGCCATGTATTAGAATTGGACAAAAACATTGCAGGCCAAATAAAAGCCAGCTAAATGCCGAATTCCCAGGGGCACCCAAGGTGTGCCCCAGTCTGCGTGAAGCACACATGCATTTTTCTCTTGTTCTTTTCAGCAACCAAGAAGCAGCGGCGGACCACGCAGCAAGGTGATAAGGAACCTGATGGGTACCGCATCCTCAGATGGTATTTTCAAACAGGACTCACTCATACTCCAAGTCCCAACATACGGGACACCCATGGACCTCTGCAAAAAGGGACAGAGGCTTGGGTGTCCAAATTTTGTGAGGCAGAGGCATTGAGAAGGAGGAGAGCCATTTTTACAAGCCCGGGTCATCTACCAGTTACCACGATGATGTTACAGAAAGCAGAAATAAAAACGGGTGGTCAGACAAAGGATTGGATGTGACTTGTGAATATGTGCACATGGAAAAAATAAAGCAGGACTAAAGATTTTACATTAGGAGTGACCCTGAAAGTCAGTGACAGATAACCAATAAGGACACCGTGGGGACACAAGGGCTGTCCTTTCTGTCTTTCAGCTCCCCATGCCATCCCTTCCCTGCAAACCCTCCTCTCTCATCTGGCAAACTTCTTACATTCATTCAGTAACATTGATCGAGCGTCTGTAGCCTATGCCGAGCATGGTGCCAGGACATTAGTTGCTACACTTGAGAAGTCTTCATTTGGTGAGGGCAACCACAGATCATGAATCAGTGACGAACAACTGAAAGGCAAAGCATGTCCTCAAGAAACACAGAGAGGGACATGCTCATTCCCTGGGGCAGTCAGGAGGGCTTCATGGAAGAGGGATAAATTGAACCTGACCTGGAGAGGGGGATACGGGAAGATAAACAGGCGGGGAAGGTTTTCCAGGGAGAAGACAGGGCATACACATAAAGCATAAAGATGTGGATGCAGACGGCATGCTGCTCAGTGTGGGTAGAGAATTGGAAAAGGGAGCGTGTCAGAAGATGAGTCCAGAAAGATAGACTGAAGCCAAATTGTGAAGGTCCTTGTCTGTCGCACTAAAGATGATGGAGAGCCATTGAAAGTTTTTCCGCAGAGCAGCAGCATGATCAGGTGTGCGTCTGAGAAAGATAGCTCTGGAGGCGATGCCGCGTGGGTTGAGGGTGGGTGAGGATGAAGCATGAAAGCAGGCAAGAGAAGAAGAGGCAATAATCCCAGGAAGAAATGCTGAGAGTCTGAACTAAAGCCGCGGCTGTAGAGCCGATCAGGCGGTGATTGATTTAAGAGGTATTTAGACAGTAGAATCCATAGCACTTGGTGTTGATTGAATGTGAGCGATAAGGAAGGGGAACATTCAAGAATGAGTCTGCAGAGAAGGACGAGGCGGGCATTGGGGAAATAAGGGCTTGGGGTTTGGGAGAGAATTTTGGGCCTCAGGGATACCGCAAGATCTGCTCAAGGTCAAGGAGGGACAGGACCGTACATTTCCCAAACAATGACCATGGGCACAGAGATCACTGCTGTGAGTCAGAATCCCTAACTCCAAATCCAAACAGACTGTTATGAAATGAAAGAGAGGAAAAGAGATGAGAAACAGAGGTTCTGTGCCATTTCCCTCCCTGAGCCATTTATAAAAAAGGACACGTGTACTAAATCAAGGTGCCATTTCTTTAACTAACTAAGTTTTCTTAAAAGTCCATACACAGACCAAGGTGCCCAGGACTGGGCAGGACCACAGTAAGGGTGATGTGGATAGAGGTGTCCAGAATCCCCACGACATCAGCACAGGACACTGTTTAGCCAAATGAGCTCAAGGCCATCAGACAGAAAAGGTAACAAATCAGAAATAGAAAGGGAAATGGGTTGGACATGGGACATTCAGCCCCCAGCCCCAAGGAGACACCCTGGGCTCTCTCCTACGTCCATCTGTAGGTTGGCCCAGAAGTACTTTCCACTTAGTGGTATCCTCAATTGTCTACCCAAGACCAGGTACAGATCCTCGTCAAATTCTGTCACATTCTGCCAGCTCAGGGGCACCTCCTGGACTCCCCCTTTTACATGAGATGCTGCAGCTCTCTAAGCACTTTGCCTCCTGCCTGGGCCCCCGATAGGGACTGTACTTCTCTCCCAGCTCTTTATCCTGTATTGAGCTGGGACCAGCTGACGGGGCAAAGCAGGCATTTCTGATTAGTCCCAAAAGCTTTGCAGGAGTCAAAAGGCTCTCAGGGAGAATGCAGAAGAAAGCAACAGGCTCTCCCGGGGGTCTCCGTCGGAGGTGAACAGGAGAGGAAGCCCAGCCAGAGGATGCTATGGCAACGGCACCTGACCCCACAGCTCTCTCAGGAGAACACCATCCCAATTCCTGAGACTCTTCCAGCCTTGACAAACATTTTGGAGGATAAAAGGACAAAGGAGTGCTGCAGATGTGAGTCCATCTGAAGTACAGTCGGCCTCAAGGGACACTTCCAAGAGACAGTGTTTGCCTTGCTGGGATGGCTGGCCAGGCCTGCCAATCCCCGAAGCCACAGAGAATCCAGGAGCCAGCAGCAGGATCCACCCAGTGGGGAGGGGGCGTCACTCTGCTCACCAGGAAGGAGGAGGAAAAAGAAAAGTTGCTGTGGCTGTGAAGCGTCGTGGCAGGCGAGGCTGGGGCTCCTTTACACACTTCATCATGTTCCACTTCCAGCCGACACAACTCCACAGTTATGACACAGCACCACTTAATAAGACTCACTCTCAGCCGGGGAAGGGGGGACGGTGACGCCGAGGGAGGGAGAGAAGAGGGAAGAAGCTGTGCGGAGAGGATGGGAATGATAGGGCTTTATTTTAAAACAGAAAGTCTGTTGTCAGTTCAGATTATAGACTAAGCAACCAGGGCAGGTCCTTGGAGGGTAGGAACATCTCCCAAACACAGCAGAATCTTCTGAACAGAGCCACTGAGCTGGAAGAAGCCAAATCTTTCCTTAAGAAAATGGGGTAGCTGTGGGTAGAGGGTCAAGATGGCATTTATCTTGGCTTCTGAGAAGCAAAAGAGCCCCATGAAAGCGACGACGCCTTTCCCCATTCCTGACCCCAGGCAGTTGCCCAAACTTACCCTCCTAACCAAACAGCAATGTCACCGGAAGCAAGGAGCACATTACCTCCTCTTCTCATCTTTGGAAAACTCCGCAGCACCCCGCGGTTGACGGCCTCCAACTGACTGAGCAGCCAGTGAATACTCGTCCGTCTCCCAGAAACATCTTTTCCACCCAAGAGATGGTCTTATCGCTCTTGATGAAAAAGAGAATAAACAGAAATTTAGAGTGCGAAGAAGGCTTAGGAATCAAATCATCTAATTTTCTCCTTTCACCCTTTGGAAAACTGGGCACAAAGTAGTAAAGAAAATTGCAAACAGTGTCACGATTCTTAGTGACTCATCCAGATCACAAATCAAGGTCTTCTGTGTCCTTGTCCCACTGCTCCTTCAATGACAACTCATTGCCTCTGCAAATCACGTCTGCATATGCCTTCAGAGGCATCTGTCCATCCATCCATCTATACATCCATCTGTTCATCAACTATCCACTTATCCATCTACCCTTCCTTCCTTCCTTCCTTCCCTCACTTTCTCCCTCCCTCCCTCCTTCCCTCTCTTGTGCACACACAAGGCTAGGGCTGTGCATGGGCTAGAAGGGGTCAAGAGCACAAAAGATGGATCAAATCACCTTCCACCCAGTTCCCAGCTTCCCTCACTCCTGAGAGCAGAGGTGTGCACACACAAAACACACACACACACACCAATATGCCAGGGGCTAGAGGGTGTGCACATGGGGCTGCTAGCACAGAGTGGAGGGAGCTCGGGTAGAATGGGGTGGAGCCATTCTGGAAGGCTTCACTAAAAAATGCCCTAATTTGAATGTTGACGGAGGCTGATCACAGGGGGAAGGCAGTCCATACAGAGAGAGCCCAAAGAAGCCCTTCTAAAACCCCCTCACCCTGAGGATTCAGGTGCACCATTCTGTTTGAGCTCTTCTCCCCTCAGAGCACTTTCTGATGTCTCTTTCGGGGAGTGCTTGTAGTGATCTCGTGACTGTGCAGCATTCACTGGATTTGGCAATGAGTTGGCCACTGGCCACGGTCCCTGGCCCTATAGCTGGGTCATTTCTACCAGACATTTGCTCTCATAGCACTGCCTCTTGTGCCATCTTAACAATTATCACCATTGTAATCTGGTGTTTATTAGTCAACTCTACTAATGTCTACCTGCCCTGCTGCATGGGAGTAAGCTCCTACAGACAGAGCTTCATTGACTGTATCACCCAGTGATACAGTGTGTGGTATGTAGTAAATGCTCAATAAATATTGGCTGAGGTGTGTTTGGACAGTGGGAAAGAAACCCTAGGCATTAAGTGAAATTCTGCACAACTTCCCCTGACCTCTAGGAAAAACACTTGTCCAGCCAGGTATGGTGGCACACACTTGTGATCCCAGTGGCTTGGGAGGCTGAGACAGGATGATTGCGAGGTTAAAGCCAGTCTTATCAAAAGCGAGGCACTGACCAACACAGAGAGACTCTGTCTCTAAATAAAACACAAAATAGGGCTGGGAATGTGGCTGAGTGGTCACATCCCCAGCCCTATTTTCAATCCTTGGGACCAAAAAGAAGAAGGAGGAGGAGGAAGGGGAGGGGGAGAAAGGAGAAAAGAAAGAAAAAGAAAACACTTGTCCAAAGTTTCCTGCATCCATTCTACTCTAGGATACTTTACCCACAGCACCCCCACACCTCTGCACAAAACCACTTCAGTCCAACCTCTCCTGGGTCAGTGCACATCTCTAAGGCATTTTCAATACTATACTCCTGCTAATCTCCCTAGACAGGATTTCCAGCCCCCGATGTTTCAGATCTCCTTGGTGCCAATCTCTGATCTCAGTCATTTGAAAGCAAAGCTCCCGGGTCTCAGAGATCAGAGGCTTCTGAGTGCCCAAAGCACCTTTTTTGACATCTCAGATTTGGGTGGAGTCCTTCTTGGATGGATTTGGGTTCCTGGATCACCCTCCTCCACCTTCACCTACAGACAGGTGCATGAATCCGGGAGCTGTGTCTACACTCGGAAGCCGCTGCTGCCTGCTGAGCTTCTATCAGAACACCACTCTCGGGCCCAGACCAGGGGTTGCTCTCCAAGCCCCACCTCCATAGCCCTTTCCCTGCTCTTGACAAGCAGAGAAGACAGATTCTCTGTTCAAGAGGCTGGAAACCATGGTGATGGCCCTAACCAAGATACAGAGACAGAGGGGGGCCGGTAAGGACCCACAGAAGAGACCTTGCAGGATGGAGCACAGGCCCTCTGTCTCACAGTGCCATCGGCAGAAAGAATGCAAACTCATCCTTCTCTGAAGAGAAGACCCCACCGTGGAAACCCCAGTGACCTCATGGGTACTGAAACGGGAGTTCGCTGAATCTGTCTTGAAGACAGGGTTTGCCAGTGTCCACAGTGGGCAGCTGCAGTCTTGGCGGGAGCAGGGAGAATGGCTGGAGCCCAGCCTTTGGGGACAGTTCTAGATCCAAACACTTCCTCCATTGGAAGCTGTGAGCCTGGGTGAGTTGCTTGGCCTCTCTGCTGCAGAATTCCTCCTACACGTGACGAGGGTAATGATGCCACCCTGGCCAAGTGTGGACAATGCAGGGACAAAGTTGGGGACAATGTAGGGAAAACACCATACAGTGCCTGGCACATGGTGGCGGTTCAGCAGAGGAACTTACTAGGAACGAGGCCAAGGAGCAGGCTCCAGGACCTGCACAGCTTGTCACTGTCCCCTCGCCCTCCTCACACCTCCTTTCCCCAATTTGGCTGTTTTGGGAGGAGGATGCTTACAGACAGCCGAGGGCCAGGATGGAGCGCAGCGTCCGGGGACAGCGGAGGAGGGAGGGCACCTCCCCACGGCTCTCCCTTCCTCGCTAACAGAAGCAGCAGCAAACAGCTTCTCCTCTCCCGTAACCTGTTTCCATGGTTCCCACCCAGACTGCCTCTAAAATCTGTCACACTTTTAGCATAATGTGCAGCGAGCGCCACGGCAAATAGCTTTGTGTCACCGGCAGGGTCCAGGCCGGGCCCTTCCTCCTGTTCCCTGGGGAGGCCGCTGGCCTGGGGGGTCAGGCTGGGCACCTGCAGCCTGGATCTCCTTTGAGTGCTCCACTCTGTCCAAATTACCTGTGCTCGCTGGGTCTCTCTCGCAGGTGGACCGTTAATGGCGTTGCGTGGAGAGCCTGTCAGCGCTCTAATTACACCCTTCAGTGCGAAGCTGCCTGCTAGATTTCCATGCTTTCTGTTGGGTGCCTTGATCCATGCTGTTGTCAAAAAAAGTTACCGTGTGGCCTGCCTGTCTGAGCATAGCTGCCTGTTCTTGTTTTAGCTGGTCTTTTATTTGTTTTTCTATGATAAACCAGCTTTTGAAGAAAACTGAAAAAAATGGCAAGTAGAGAGACCATGGAACTTGAAATCAGAAAATATGAATTGAAAGCTCACTTTCATCATCTATTTGCTGAGCACTCGTGAGCATGTCTCTTAACCTCTCTGGGTCTGTAGCATGGGGATACTAGTAAAAGCTACCCTACAGAGTTGTTGTGATAACAGATGAAAAAGACTTTCTTAACCATACAACCATAAAGAAATGTTCATCATTCTTGCTGAATTTTGAATAGCAAGACATGAATTTGAACCCCAGTATGCTGTTAAATTGCTGAATGACTTTGGATAAGTCATTTAACTTCTCTGGACCTTTGTTTTTTTTTTGTTGTTGTTGTTGTTGTTAATATGTGAATCAAGAATAATAATATATCTATCTTATCTCATCAGCTTGCTGTGAGCACCAACTAAGATCAAAGACACGAAATCACTTTGAAAAACATGAAGAGTCCCATACCTGTAAGGAAGTGGCAGCATTTAAAACAGGCTTGCAGGCAAGAATGGGAGATCCACAGGCTCTAGCTATCACACTGGCCTCATTCTCTTACAGGAACAGGATACCAGGAGGCTGTAGAGACATGGGCCACAAGAGGATCCCAGTGGGCAGCACAGGATCCAAATATTACAACAAATAAATGCTGTTAAAACATTTGCCATGACCCAAACATTGCACCGCATACTCCACATGCATCACCTCATTTAATCTTAACAGTTTTGTAAGAAGGTATTACCAGCATCATGTGCAACAGAAGAGAGACTGAGGCTTAGAGAGATTGCTACAACCCAGACAACCACAGCTTATCAGCAGCAGATCTAGGACTTCAACGTGGCTCTATCTGATGTCAAAGCCAAGCAACAGCAGCTGCTAATGTTTCTTGAGTGCCTACCGTCTGCAAGGAGTGTCCCTCTGCTTCCGATGCACTAACCCACCCAGGTCTCACCTAAGACATAGGTATTTTAATGGCCCTCTTGTTAGGTGAGAAAACTGAGGCACAGAGAGTTTAGGTAAGTTTCCTAAAGCATCACAGCTAGTAAAACCACAGCATCCTTTATGTCATGGGCCTCCCAATGCCCAAAAGCCTGGTCTGGGAGAACAGAAGGTAGACCTCTGGCTGCTCAGAGCCTTCGGCCCACAGTGGAAATAACTCCTCACTCAGGACCCACCATTAAAGTGGTGTTGTGCCCCTCCCCACACAGAAAAAGTCCTGTGCCCTTCATCTGCAGAAATGGGTCCATTTTCTACTACCACCATCAGCTTGTGAGGGATGATTCAGAACCCTTCCTTGTCCTTTGCCTCAATGTATTAGAAAATAGTCTCACGGATCCTTTGCTCAGAGGGCTACGGGCTAACATAGCATTAGCCTCGCTACAGGACACCCACACTTACTGAATGTCTTAGTATGATCTGTGCCGTGTGATCTTCTCACTGCAGTCCCCAGCAGCCGGGACAGAGAGAATCCACCCCATGTGACTCCCAGGGCTCAGAGCCTACTAGCTGCCTCACCCAGGTGTCACCACGAGAGCCATCAGTCACCTGCTCAGCCCTCATCCTCCCTGACAGCAGGGTAACACTCTTCACTCACCTCCAAGGGGCCTGTCTCTCTCAATGGACTCCGCAGGACAGATACCGAAAGTGAAGTCCACAGCAAGCCCGTGCCCTGCTTGAGGATTCCCACTTTTGAAAGAAAACATTTTTAAAAAAAATGCAAAACAAGGGGGCCGCATAAAGAACCCCCCACAAGAAATCGCACTGCTGCCCAGGCCATCTGCTGCTCAACTCTTCTGCTGTCACTAAAGATGTGCTCAGCCCTGTTGTCCAGCAAGAAAGGGGCAGCACAGCTATGCATTTGGGGTTTTCAGAGCTGGGTTCTGAAAATTTTTCCTGTGTGTCCTCAAGCAGTTCACGTCTCCTCTCTGGGCTTCCCACCACCACCAACACCACCTCTGGAAAAATCAAGAGGATGGACTAAATGCCGCTTTGGTCTATAAGAGCCAATCTCCACAGACTCCACCAGAGCTGTTCATTTCCCAGTGTCCTACGTGCAGCACAAAGGAACAGTCTGTGCTAACTAGAAAAGTCCAACTCCTCCCTAGAAGCTGGCAATGGAGACCCCTGGATACCACAACCCCCTCCTGCTGGCTCAAGTAGGAAGACCTGTCACTCTGACTCAGGAAAAATCTAGCTCCTGGCAAAGACTGGCTCAGAAAGGGCGCTCCAGAGAGGTTTTCTGGATGGATAGATGAATGGATGGGTCAGTAAATGAAGGAGCATCTTTAGTTGTCTGCTTCTTTCCCTCCAATTCCTTCTGGTCTTTCCCAAGGTGAATACCTCCCAGATTCCACCCAAGACCTCCTCTTCCCTGAAACCCACTCTCGGATGACCATTTTCCTGCAATGCTGTGGCCTTGGCCTTGCTCAGATCCTGGTGGGTAAATGGCCTCCACGCAACGAACAACCCTTTTTCTAACAAGTAATTAGCTATCAAGAAAGCCAATTCCAACAGAGACCATATTAATAAAAGGGTGCAGGTGTGTATTTGACTACAGATGCACAATGAATTACTTTCATTTGCAAAGAAAACTCTTCTGGTCTAAAGAGCTTGTTTTGCTGCCAGAGAGATGGATACCTCCCCGAGATCAGCCCCTGCTCCTCAGGGGAGCTCCGTAGGGAAGAGAGGCTCAGGATGCAGATACTTGATTCAGTTCTTTAATCGACATACTGGTCAAACATCTGTATAGCATTCTGGGTGTCGGTACCACTCCTCCTTCGACATCCACAGCAGTGATGGCCCAAGCAGCTCCTGCAGCACATGTAGAAGGAGGGACCTCTGGCTGTTGTCACAGGCATTCATTGCTGCAGGCAGGGAGCTAAGGAGCAGAAGTGAGCCCAGGACAATATCTCCTGGCATCTGGTGATGCCTGGGACCTAAATTCTGTGCATTGCACTATGATTGACCTCCCCTATCCCCACCTTTAATTTTGAGCTAAACAAGTCCAGTGTCTCTGAGGAGACATCTACTCGAGATGTTACTTCCTCCAGAAACCTCCCTTGTCTTCTGAAGATTGAGTATGGAACTCAAAGCACTGATCCTATTTTGGGTTATCAGAGGTAACCAGTGGTGAGTCAAGCAAATCTAAGTATCTGAGTTCAAATTCCTGCTTCATATAACTTTAACTCTCATTGGCCGGCCATTCCCATCTGTAAAATGGGCCAAAAGTATTTTCCTCCTCTGGAAATTAAATGAGATAATACAGGCAAAGCACCTAACAGTAGACTCTGACACATAGGAAGTCATCTCCAGTCCCCGTTTACACAACTTGACAGTTGTCAGAAGGCAAGATCCCACGCAAGTCTCTGTCACAGCTCCAGAAACACTTGCTTAGGGACAAAAGGAGGTCTGGACAGTGCTGCAGCCAGATTCAGGAAGCTCCCTCTTTGCAGGGGTGTGGGAGGGGGTGGGGACCACTTCCTTAGCACAAACCTCCCGACCGACCGTCTCCCTCCCACAGGTTATGTTTGACGTAATAAAGCAAAATGAGGAGGAGAAAGAGAAAAGAATAAACAACTAAGCACACCTGGGCAGGAGAGCCCATCCTCCCGAGTGGGTAAGGCCACCCCCGTGGGCAACCTCGGCATCAATGCCTCCGTGTGGGACCCAGGAGGTGCCGGCGACATTAAATGCCGATTACTCCTGGGGCATGTGGTTACTGCGCTGCGGTAACCCACCCCCTGAAGAGCCTGATTGCTTAAGCATCTCTTTGCAAAATGTTTATTTTTTATTTTTTTCCTCATGAATGTTTAATCAGATACCTTGACGAGGCGCACAGCAACCTTCTCCTGAGAGCTGCTGGAGGTGGCGTGATCAGCCCTATTTGTCACAAAGGGCAGCTTGGAGTGTGGCCACCGTCTCAGTGCTCTCTGTCTCCCCAGCCCAGGCCTCCAGAACCCCCACCCCAGTGCAGCAAGCGTGGGGTGCCCAGCTCTCCCAGCTAGCCACACTGACCCCTTGTGCCTCTCAGACACCACACTGGTGCAGGGGGATCCTCTAAGCTTGCCCACAAGAATCCTGAAGTGGCTGGCTCAACCCCCTTCCTTCCTGGCCTCCTTCAGTGTCCTTCTTTATCCAAAGCCACCTGCATAGACAGTCCTCTCCTTGCCTCACCCACTTCTGGCAGAGTGCATTCCCCAGGTGACTGGCCATTCGACATGGGAGGGTCAAGACACTGGAGGGTTATCTGGAACTCCTTGCGGCCAGACTCACCCCCTTTCCCCTTCTGCTGGTCCCCCACTCACTCTGAACTCAGCTCCAGGCAGGCTCCTGTGTTCCACCTCCCCTCACTTATCCCCAGCCTCCTGGGATTAGGGGGAAAGCCATTACCTCAGGATTAAGCTTCAGTTTGATTCTCATCAAAGACTCTGGTCACCGAGTATTTGCTTAACACCAGACCTTTCAGGCCCCATCAAATTTAACAAGGCCTGACAGATTTGGGATTAAACAGAGAAACCCAGACAAATCCATACTTTCATAGGAGCCCCCAGTGACTGCAGCAGGACAAGCAGGATTCTAGAGAAGCAGAGACCCTGAAGTCAGCATGGGCATCGTGTGACCACAACAGAGGCGGCCTTGCAGCCTGATCTCTGCCCAGCTCCCCAAGACTCGAATTGATCCTTTTACTCTCCTGAGTGCAGAGGCTCAGACAAGTTCAATGCAGCGGGAATTCAGGACACAATGCAGGACACAGCAGGGGGAGGGGGGACCTCTGGGGAACCACTCCTCCCCCTCTGAGCTTAGCTCTGGCTCAGACTGTCCTGAGAGCGGCCCTGCACTCCCATTGGAGCTGCTCCTGTCTTCCAAGGCCTGTTCCCAGGTGATCTCTGGTTTTCCCTAATTGAAGCCCAACTCCCACCTCTCAGTGACAACAACAAGCGCCAGGTGGCAGATCCAGCACAGCCTTTCACATTGATTCCAAAGACCATTCTGTTGTAGAGGTGATTGGAG